GAACAAATGAAAAATTGTTCAACATCATTGGTCATTAGAGAAATGCAAATTAATACAGAACTGTGACATCACTCAAGAAACAATAGCTTCCATCAAGAAATCAAGCAATATCAAACAGTGGTTGGGCTGTGGGTAAAAAGGAATCCTCCTCCATTGTTTATGGAAGAGTACACTGGTTTGGCTTGGGATTAAGCTCAGCAGCATAAGTGCCTGCCTGGTAAGTACAAGGTCATGAATTTCATCCGTGGTACCAAAAAAAAAAGTTGTTTTGAGGGACTATATCATCAGTGTTATGGGCTCTTTGCTATTCTTGTTTATAAGTCTTTTTCATTTTGTGTTTTTCATGGAATTTTTTTTTTCTCTTGTGTTGTTTTAGTTTTCCCAATAATAAAGAAAGTTATACATGTAGATATTCATGCATGCATAAAACTTCTAAAAAGTGTGTGACATTTGATAATATAATGCTCAATGAAATGAACAGCTACTTTGAAGAAAAAGAGATACTAAGATATCCAATGCTGATTCCATAGTTTTGTGATGTGAAATCCAGCAGTACTATTATTTTTTAATTCAGAGTGATTTTAATGTTTTGTTTTGTTCAACTTGAACATACATGAATATATGGACAACTATTTTGAAGAGAATGAGAGATGTTGTGGCAGCCATTGTTGACTTCCTTATTGTCTGACCTTGAAGACCTAAAATCCCTGCATCATTCTATTCTGATCAGTTTTTTTTTTTTTTTTTTTTTTTTTTTTTTTTTTATCAGTACCGGGGAATGAACTCCTGACCGCCTGCTTGCAAGGCAGGTTCTTATGCCACTGAGCTAAATCCCTAGCCCCTGTATTGTCTAGTTTTGAAGGCCTACAATGCATTTTGCTCTGATTGATTTAATACTATTTTGCTTTGTATGAATTCATTGTATGTGAAGATATGAACAACTATTTAGAAGAAAACAAGTTCCAATATGCTAGACAGTGAAGATCTCTGATTGTGTTGTTTTGAAATCTGTATCTCTTACATTGTTATCTTATGATCTGTTTTGTTCTGTTTTGTTACATTTAATTTTACACACTTTAATTTTTTTTAAAATAGTACACTGGTTAATCAGTGTGGAGATTCTTCAGTGACTAAGATTTGAGGTTCCATTTGATCCAGCTATTTTTCTTCTGGCCGTATTCCCAGAAGAATTGAAAACATCATGCCATAGCAATATATGTGATCCCATGTTTATAGAAGCACAATTTGTAATTAAAAACAACCCAAATGCTCATCAACCATGGAATGGATAAAAAAAGTTGCAGTATTCTTGTACAATGGAGTACTACTTAGCTATAAAGATGGATAAAGTTGAAGCTTTTATATGTAAATGGATTTAACTTGAGAATACACTGACAAGTGAAAAAATAAGACACACCTGTGTATATATTGTATTGTCTCCTTAGTGTAAAAAACTGAAAGGGTAGCAAAGATCCAAAATTTTTGCTAGATACTGAAAAAGTGACTGGGAAAAGTGCTTTAAAAGAAACAACTGGGAATAGAGAAAGGAGAAAAGAAAGAAGAGAAAGGATGATATATATGTATATGTATATATATATATGTATATATATATGATAGATAATACTAATAATACATGTATATACATATGATAGATATTACTAATCACTGTTAGTTTATTAAAACAATGATTCATGCTTTCATGTTTAACGCCTATATCTTGTAATCTGAGCAACTACTTTTAAGATAAAAATATGTGATATATTAATTATCGCTAATCTCATTATTTTGCTTTGGAATTCTGTATCATTTTAATTCTTTTATTAAAAACATCTGCATGAGAAATTATTGTAACATCCTAGTAAATGAAGAAAATTTGATAATCTTCTAAGATTATCAAAAAATAAATGTTCCCACTCTCAGTACACTGTTCATTATATTTCTCAAAAATTTACCCAGAGCAATCAGGCAAGAGAAATAAATAAAAGGAAGAGATCAAGCAGTCTTTATTTCCAGAAGACATGATATTATATATCAAAGTCACAAAATATACTGGGAAAAGCCTTAGAAATAAAACCATGTTCATCCTAATGGATCCTAATCAGTAGATAGGAATCAATAGTCTTTCTGTACATTAACAGTAGACCTACCAAAAAAAGAAATCAAAATAGTGATTTTATTCATGATACCTTCAAAAAATTGAATCAACTAACCAAGAAAGCTAAAGATATCTGTAACAAAATTATTCTATTCTGGAAAACTATGCAGAACAGGGCACTAGAAAATGGAAAGAAACCTCTTTTGCTGCATAGGCCAAACCAGTCTTATCAACATGGATATGCTACCAGAATTGATGTGTAGATATAATGCAATTTCAATAAAAATATCAGCAATGATTCTCATAGAAATAAAAGAAACAACTTTTAATTTCTAAGGAATAAGAAGTGACTCAAAATAGCCAAAGTAGTACTAACTAGAAAGAGAAAAGTGGTAGGAATTGCAATTGGGGATTTTAAACCATAAAAATAGCATATTGAATCCAAATAATATAACCATTGGGTAGAATTCAATTGGAATTGCAAAAAAAAAAATGTCATACGATACCTGCCATCTCATTTTGGACAGAGGGAGAAAGGTAAGCTGGGGAAAAGTTATACACTTTGTAGCTGAGTTGCTAGAAAAACTGATTATCTATTTCCAGAAGAATGAATCTAGAACCATATCTCTTCCCAGTACTAAAATGAAATCAAAATGAGTTAAAGAGCTACATATGAAAGAGGAATGATAAATTCGTTGAAAGATAAAATAAATAAAATGCTAAAATATAAAACCACAAGTAAAGACTTTCTGAACACAACAGCTGTTGCATAAGTAGTAATTCTAGAAAACATACTCGTAAATGACATAAACTGGAATTGTATAAGTAAATACTGTATCGCCTTCCTAGTATAAGAAACTGAAAGAGTAAATGAATCCAAAAGGTACAATATGTACAGCAAAAGAGAGAGATACTATTCAAAGGGAATTTATTGTTTGATCAATTTTGCATACCTGTTTCTGGTAAACTGAATGGCTATTTTGAAGATAACAACATACAATATAGCAACTATTGTTAAATTCCTATCATCTGGGTTTGAAATACTATATCATTACTGTTTTGTTGTGGTTGTTTATCATTTTGCTTTTGTTGTTGTTTGTATTTGTTTGTTTCTTGATGTTTCTGTTTTTTTGTTATAAAATTCTTTTCTCTTTTTGATACCAGGAATCCAGCTCATGACCCTGCACTTGCCAGGAAGTGCAAGATGCACTGAGCTAAGTTCTCAGCCCTTTTTTCTTCCTTTTTAAAGTGAAACAAATTAACATCAGGGTTCATCAAATGGAATCATTTCAAATTTAAAAGCTTCTGTACTGCACAGGAAACAACCAATAGAGTGAAGACACAACATACAGAATGAGAAATTGTTTCTCCATATACTCCACAAATATAGAACTAATAAGCACCTCTTGTAAGCACCTCTAAAACATAAATGACCCCCCAAAGAAAATAGATGACCAAATTAAAATTAGCAATTGAAACAAATAGAAGCTTCTTAAAATGAAAAAATGCACACTAAGCATGCAAAGCATGTTAACACCATTAGCCAATAGAAAGTGCAAATTAAAAACAAAAAAAAAAAAAACCTGAAAGACTCTGTCTCACTTTGGTAAGAAAAACCAACATCAAAAACTCCAAAAACAACAAAAGGGGTAAGGTCATGGGAAAAAAGGAAACTTTCTACGTTTTTGGTTGCAGTGTACACTATTACAAATGATATCAAAATCTCTATGCAGCCTCTGTCAAAAAGGAAACTAGAAATTTTATTTAACCCACCTATATCTCTCCTGGATGTCTTCTAAAAATTTAATGCATCATATTACAGAGACATATGCACACTCACATCTATAACCACTCAATTCAGAATAGCTCAATTATAGGAAAGCCTGATATGTCTAGCAACAGATGAATAGATCAATAGAATGTGATATACCTACCCAAGAGTGTACTACTCAGCCATACAAAGAGAAATTTCAGCCTTATTTAGGAAAAAAAAAAAAAACGAATGGAGTAAAGAACATAAATCTAAGTGAAATAAATGAAACACACAAGCTTCAGCATTGTCTGGATGTTATTTTATGAAAATCCCGGATAGGAATAATCTTTAGACAAAAATAAAAGGAAGATGATAGGAATCTGGTGGGTAGAGCTTTTAAGATAGGAGGGTACCTGGGAACAGGGAGGGTGTAGTGAGCTAAGAGAAAGCAAAGAGTGTATGTGTGTGAACCAATGAACCAAAATGGATAGGATTTTTGAGTTTTGCTAATAAACAAATAGATATTCTTGAAAAACAAACGCAGCATATCTGTGAAAGAAAATAATCTAAATAATTGGGAATGGACAAAATGATCCAGCTTAAAATGGGATATAGATTTTTTCTGTTTACTTGAACTCTCTGTGATTGATATTTAAAATAAAATGGCATTATCTTTGGCATGAATATGTTAAAAATACAAGCAAAATTGTTTTATTGTACATATAAGTGTAAAAATAAAATATATATTTCAAATAAATGATCTAATATTTTCTGCACTTGGAAAGAATAAAACACATACATATTATTTCATATATTTTGACTGTTGATTCTGAAACAGTATTAACTTTATTCATGAAAGGAAAATAAAAAGGTTTCATTAAGTAAAATAAATTCCAATATTAATGATGATATGTATACATCTGTAACCTCTACAGAAACATTTTATTCAGTAAATTACAAATATATATTCCTAACAAGTTCCAATAGTCTTAAGATTATACACTGATCATTGGAAAATTCATAAATAAATGTTTTCCATTCTGTACAGTTATTAATATTGAGGCAGATATTAACATAATGAAATAAATATTCATGATTTTGTGGAAGATGCAACTTTTTATGGAACATTGACTTGACACACTTTGCTATTATTTATTTTTGTTTCCTATTCCAGAGCTTCTTCAGGGCAATTTTCATCTCTGCATTTCTTAGAGTATAAATGAGAGGGTTCAGCATGGGGGTGATAATTGTGTAAAACACAGTCAAGGATTTATCAATGGGTGAAGTAGAAGGAGGTCTAACATACATAAAAATGCAAGGCACAAAGAAGAGGATGACCACTGTGATGTGGGAACCACAGGTGGATAATGCCTTGCGTCTCCCTTCCTGACTCAGGTTCTTCAGGGAGTGCAGAATCACCCCATAGGAGATTAACAAGAGTGTGAAGATGACCACACAGATGGCTCCATCATTGGCTAGCACGGTGAGACCAATAGCATAAGTGTCTGTGCATGCAAGCTTTAATAAGGGGTACATGTCACAAAAGAAGTGGTCAATAACATTAGGACCACAGAAAGGAAGATTATAAACAAACAGAAGCTGAAGGACAGCGTGAACAAAACCCCCAACCCAGGCCAACACCAACAGCTGTACACAGTGCCGTTGGTTCATGATGGTCAGATAATGCAGTGGTTTGCAGATGGCCACATAGCGGTCATAGGCCATGACCATCAGGAGCAAAATCTCAGCACCACCAAATAAGTGAAATATAAAAAGCTGTGTCATACAGGCTTTGAAAGAAATGGTTTTCTTCTCATAGATTAAATCTATAATCATATTTGGTGTAACTGTGGTGGAATAAACAGCATCCATAAATGATAAGTAGCCAAGAAAGAAGAACATAGGGGCATTTAAGGCTGGGCTAAGCATCACAGTTATGACAATGAGTAGATTACCTGCCAGTGTCACCAGGTAGATCAGTAAGAACACAGCAAATAATATTTTCTGACCCTGGGGGCTCTGAGTGAGCCCCAAGAGCACAAACTCAGTCACATTGTTCTTTTGTTCCATATGTCATTCTGTGTGTCCTTGTGTCACTGCTCAGAAGAAAATTATCTACAAATAGAATTATTACTAGTGAGGCCATAAAATTTTACAATATTATGTTTATTCCACAAGTAAGCACTATTGTTTGTTATGATTCAGAACTCTCTGAGAGAAGAATGCAAATCTGATAAAGCATTCTGCCTCACTTTAGCATTCTTGCAGATTAATAGGTTTAGAAATAAATAATGTGGAGTAAAGGGTGAATTACGAGACAAAATATGTTTGCCATAACTAGCCTTCCATTTGAAATGAAATTGGTTGTGTAAATAACATCATAAATGGGGGCTGAAGATTTAGCTCAGCAGCATAAGCACCTGCCTTGCAAGCAGGTGGTCATGAGTTCGATCCCTGGTACCGATAAAAATGAAAAAGACAAAAAAATAACATCATAAACAACAATAAAGATGGGCTAAAATTAATTTAAAGTAATAAGAGTTGCTTTGTATTAACTTGAGGGTAATAAAATAGAGATGACTTTCCATTTTTTTGGACCAGAGGAATCTTCTCAATTAATACATAAATCTTAAATATACACACGTCACATTCAAAACATTTTAAGCACATTGGAAAGGATACTATGAGTAAATATATAGAAGAAACTTGAAACAGAGATTTGTGTTATAAAGGGCATAAAAAATTAATACCTAAAATTACCTAATACTACCAAGAAATATATAAACAAAAGACAAACTTATTGTATAGTGAATCAATCACATAAAAACCAGTAAAGGAAAATATATTCAAATGACAAAATATGATAGGATGCAGAAATTCACTAGCAAACAAAATATAGCAAAAATAAACAGGTATCACTAGAGATACACAAATTTTGAGGTGATAATTTTTTTTTGTCTTTTTCCTTTTTATCGGTACCAGGGATCGAACTCACGACTGCCTGCTTGCAAGGCAGGCGCTTATGCCTGCTGAGCTAAATCCCCAGGCCCTAGGTGATAAATTTTTAATACTGTTTGTTACAAATGGAAAAAGATACTTTTTACACATCTATTAAAATGTAAATCTTAAACTTCTTTGGAAGATAATTTTTAAATCTCTTATCTAAGTAAAAATATCCATCTTTATTCATTACTGCATTCTTTTGAATCTATCCCACAGAAATTAAAGTTTCAGTAAATATATATATGCAAAGTATGTTTTGTGGCACTTCTAACAGAATTAAACCAAAAATATATAACAAATTTAAATTAATAATAATAAAGAAATTGTTGAGTAGAATACAAAAGTTGTTACATAGAAAAAACATTGCAAAAGAATTAATGACTTTGTATCAATAGTGTTCCAGAAATTAACAACTGTCTGTGGAATAAGAAAAAAATATATATCCATATGGAAAGATAGATTTTGCTGTAAACATATTTACATCTGTCCTGTCAGTATGGAGAACAAGTGGTGAATGTGAAAGATTGACATGACTTGCGCAGATAAAGCTTACTTTAGAGAAAGACAGAAAGAAGCAGGGAAGGAAGGAGAGATAGGAAGACAGAGACAGCTCAAGGGAGAATGCAAGAGAGACAGAGAGGGATAAAGAAAAGAGACAGAGAATAAAGACTGAAATAAAGACTGAGATAACAAAAAATCTTCACACCAAACAACTGTACTATAAGTTAGACCAAAAACCACTAATGCAGACATGTTAGATTTTATTTAAAGGAAAAAAAAAAAAAAAGACACAGGAAAGAAAATGAAAAAAGAGAAAAACAACAACAAACCCAAAACAAAAACAGAATATGTTTTCAAAACAAGATTTTTGGAATATAACAATTGTTGTAGTAGTGCATATTATTTACTTTTAGAAGAGCTGCTTACCAGACATAAACATGTAAAATTGATCTAAGCATATGAGTATATAACTGTTCTTTTCCAAAAACTAATACAATTAGTAGTATACATTAATCTAAGTACTTTAACTTTTCTGGGTACTTGATCTGACTTCAGAAATTCTGCTATTTGCTCCTCACAGACACAGATTTTCTGTTTTTCCCAGCTGTGGCCCCATCGGCTCCTGCAGCGTCCATCACATTTATCACCCTTAACAATACCGCTATTCAAATATATAAAAATATGTGGTAATCATGATTCCCCATTAGATGGCCTTGAAGCCTTATAAAGTTTTCACTCATTAATTAGAAAGGCTTTATTCTGGGCTTCTTGATATGAAAATATTTGAAGCTAGAGTATATGAAGTTTTACCCAAATATTTCAAGGAAAAAGACACTATGGTAACTACTATTAAGTCAGGTTATAAGGTGGTGAAGTACTAGGTTATTGAAACAGTCATGCTGTGACCTCTGTTGTTATATTGTTATGTCCTGTTTTATCTCAATCTCCCCCTTATTGTTTCAAAAAAAATTATTTAGTCATTTCTTATGTTTGTCTTAATTAAAGAAAAAATTCAAAAAAATTAGGATATATAAATAGTAACTCTTTTCGATTTCCTATTAACTTGTTTTGAAGTCCTGTAGTACTCCCACGATCTTGTTTTGACTGATTAGACTCTGTTCCATTCTATATGATAGTATCAAGTTTGAAGACATAGGCAACTACTTTGAAGACAATAAGATTCACTAAGATACCCATTCTGGTTTGACTATTGTCTCCTTTGGAAGTCCTGTAATGTTTACAATGCCTAAGTTTTATTGGTCTTGTTCTCTACTGTTTTGTCCAACTTTATAATATCTAATGAGATAGACAATTCTTTTTAAGGAAACAAGGGACAACGTTGATAACCATTGTTGATAAACTTGTACTCTGTTCTACACCATGTGCTATGTCTATCCTTGGTATTGACTGACAGCTTTGTTTTGCCATATTTGACTGTATTCTTCCCCCCCCCCAAAGAAAGTAATAAGCACTAAGGAGTAATAAAATCCAAGATGTGTAAATTTTGTTGTAAAAAAGAGAGGGAAAAAAAAAAGAAAAAGAGCTCTAACGGATATAACAGCAAGTGTGTTTGGGGGTGTTAAATAGCTGACTTTATCAATGTTTTTGGAACATTGAACACAGCTATTTGCAGTCTCCCTGTTTGAATGTCCACCTTGTGTTCTTTGATACTGTGATTTGAGGAACTATTTTCAAGAAAATAGTGTGTAATCTACTAGCAGGTAATTTCTTACTGTTATGGTTTTTTGTTTTGTTTTGTTTTGTTTTGTTTTGTAGTTCTGTATTGCGTGTACCCTTACGCCGCTTTGGTTTGTTTTGTGTTTTTCTCTTTTTCCTCTTAAATAAAAAAAAAAAAAAAAAAAAAAAATACCGCTATTCTAATTCCTGCATCCTCCATTCCCCTTGTCTCCAGAACTTTCTGTGAATAGTTATACAGTGCATGTGTATCTGTTTTAAAAATTCTATCCTTCAAGGCCAGCCTCAGCTACATAGAAAGACCCTGTCTCCAAAAATAAGATAAGAATAAAATAAATTATGTCCTTTGCCTCATTGTTCTTCCAAGCACACACTCCAACTCATTTCTCTGCATTTTCATGAATATTCTTCACTTCATTAAGATGAAGATCAATTTTAGTCCTCCTCCTTACTTTGCCTAATATTCTGAGAAATTAAACAAAAATAGGCTTATTGATGTGCACTCTGGGAAGTCACTCTTTAACTTCTACAGATACTATACCATCTTTATTTTTTATGTTCTAACGAACATTTGGAAAACAGCTCAGGAAATCCCATTAATAGATTAAAATGCCTGCATGAAAAAATATTTCCCAAGTCATCATATAGAAACTAGTCTGTAAAAACACTGGGCTTTGAGATGTTCATAACATTCTGCCTTTTTTATAATATTAAACATCTGAAAAGATTATTAAGTTTTGGAATAAGTGCATAAATATTTTAGCAATTACATAAGACCCCCTAATATAACTGATTATCAACATTAAGTAAATTTTTTTGTTTTTGATTTTTGTTTTTTAGAGATAGAGTATTGTTATGCAGTTCAGGCTGAACATGAGCTCAATTTGTAGCCCACACTGGCCTCAAACTCATAGTGATCTTCCTGCCCCAGCCTCTAGAGTACTGGGAGTATAGCCATGTGCTATCACTCCCTGTTTATGTAAAATTTTAAAAAGACTATTAGTTTCTAGGTCACCTATGTACTACAGATGCACAATATAAAGCATAGTACAGAATCATACAATCTATATCTCTTCTCAGTCACCTGCATGAGAACACAGTTATTGGGTCCCAGTTGTATGCTTTGGTCCACTCTGCTGATCTTAGATGATAAGAGCTTCATGCACCAATGCCATCCCTGGAAATACAAGCAGATGAAACACATGTAAAACTACCACACCTTGATATGATTCCATGTGACAGGTTCTTTCCATGCTTGCAAATGCAAGAAGTACGATTCAGCTAACTTTTTGGGAAAAAAAATATAACCTTTTTAATTGCTGCAATTTTTTAAAATGAATACCACAGTGCCTGGAACCTCACAAATATGAATCTTAATTCTAAACACAAATATTCCAAATTTTGTCATTCACAAATTGTCTCCTAAAGCCAAATACTAAATGAGCATTTCAAGTTTTAAAAAATAAAATGTGTGGTAGAAGGCATCACTCATTATTGACACATATTTGCAATTTGTGTTTTATAGCTGTAAAAGTGAAAGAATGAGATACACTTTAAAATACTTTGATTCTCAGTCAGAAATACTGACCTGGCTTCATCCTGAATACTAGAATTTAGGAGTAACTAAATGACAGGGAAAATTTAATCCCTATTTTACCCTGCTTTGAGTCTACCATTTTAATTTCTATAATAGTTAATACTGATATAGACAAGCATTCTCTGAGGTAACAGCAAGTCTGTGGCCACTTCATCTGTACTTACGCCATTGAGTATATTGCTCAATCATTTGGTTAGTGCCTCTTGGAGGGTGACTTTTCTCTTAATTAAATTCACTGGGACCATAACATCATCCTGATGGCAGACTATGAACCTCC